GGAAAGAGAAGAGGCCCAGAGCCACTTAAGGGGACTGCCCCTGTCTGCCTATTGGTGATGCTCCCCTAAGGAGCCCATATGGGGCAGACTGCCAAAGCAGACATTACCCACTGTAGTGAGAGATCTCCAGTAACGGGGGTTTGGGGGAGTGCAAAACCCACAAACACACTTGGAGAATCAGCTTTCAATTATCCCAGCTACGTGTAACTGGTATCAGATTACATGGATGTAATTCTTGTACCTTTCCTCCCCAGCTACACACCACCGCTCCCAGCCAGGATGCAGTAGAGATCCTGGAACAAGCTGGGAGGTAGAAGGAGAACTTCTTTCTTCCTATCACAAGATTCCGGATTCTAGACCTAAAGCAGGTTGAGGTGGGAGAGGCAAGAAAATTCAGCTTTAAGTGAAGTCCAGATTTTTAACCACTACACAAGGACTGGACTTCTGTTTCCTGATTTATTTTTTGGTCAATTTTTGATATCATTTAAAACCTATAGAAAAGTTTTAATAATAAAACAAGGAACTCCAATCATTTGCATTTTGTTCCATTTGCTTTATCATGCCCATGTGCCCTCTCTCCCTCCCTCCTTTTCCTCTCTCTATATGTATAATATATAAATACATGCAGGCTGCACACTGGAGTTACCTGGGAAGCTTTAAAATATATAAGTAATATATATATATAACATTTTTCTGGACCATTTGAGGCTAAATTGTTTTCATTCCTCCCTTTATCCCTAAATACTTCTGTGTGTATTACTCAAGAAAAAAGACATTCTCTTATCAGGTTTGCAAAATTCTAACACGAGCTCCATGACCCTAACCCTTGCCTAATCCTTGCCCCTTGGAGTGTGACTGAAATGTGTGAACTGATATCACACCCGTAATTACATTACATAGCAAAAGAGATGTTGTCTGGGTGATTACTTAATGTAATCACACTAGCAGTTTAAAAGCAGAGGAAGTCAGAGAATCAAAACACCAAAAAACTTCAATGTATTATTGCTGGCCTAAGGATGGAGAACGCCATGTGGAAAGGACCTGGGAGCAGGCCCTAGGAGCTGAGAATGGTCGGCAGCCAGAAAGAAAGTGGGGACCTCAGTCCTACAACCACAAGGAACTTGATTCTGCCAACGACTCAACAACCCAGTGATTCTTCCCAGAGCCTCCTGATAAGAGGCCAGTCTGGCACACTTAATTTCAGCCACGTTAGACCCTAAGCAAAGAACCCAGCTAAGCCCACCTGGACTTCTGAATTCCAGAAATGTAAGATAATAAATGGGTGTTTTTTAGCCACTAAATTTGTGATAATTTGTTATGTGGCAACTGAAAACTAATATGTCTTATATAGTCAAAGTATAATGACCAAAATCAGAAAATTTAACATTGATATAACACTATAATTTAATCCACCATACTGTTTTCCACAGTGACTTACCATTTTATATTCCCATCAACAGGGCATAAAGGTTCTATCCTCAGCAACAGTTGCTGTTTTCTATTTTTTTGATAGTAGGCATCCTTATGGGTGTGAGGTGGTATCTTACTGTAGTATTGATTTAC